TGTGGTTTGTGATATGTGATTTGTGAATGGACATCATATTTGTAATCGCCCGCGTGCTCTGGGCTCAGGTCTCCTCTGCAGTGGAACGTCCGTCTGAAGGAGAGAGGGGAGGGGGAAGTAAAAAGTGAAAACCCTCAAATAGTTTGCCATTTCTATCTGTCCGTCACTTGACCCTCGCTAATTTGACCATTTATATAGAGAACTTGGAGAGCAAGCGAAGGGATCATTTCCGTGAACGTGATTGACACGCAACTTTAGGTGCCGTTTGGTTTAGTATGCTGGAATTTACAGCATGGAATTGAAAATGGATATAAAATTAAAAGAAAAAAATGTTTGTTTAGTGTGGTTGAATGTAGCTTCTATGTGAAGTTGAATTCCACAAAAAATGTTTCAATTGAATTCTATAAAGAGATCCATGAAAATGAGATGCTTCCATGGAATTCCCATTAACGAAATTTTTAAGAAACATTTACCCCTTCCAATTTTGATAACCGTGCTCTTCGACATTCGCACCCACTTCCATTTTCAACTGAACTAGTCTTTGACATTGTCTCCATCATCGATGGATTTATAGCCACAAACCAAAAATTGCAATTAACAAGCCAAGACGGCACTAGAAGTAGAGGTTCAGGGAAGAAGCTCCAATTGAGGGGAGCTCTTGTTCCAATTGAAAGCTTCCAAGGGACTCACCTGCATCCTAGTATTTGGGTTTGATCAAGAATGAAACCTCAATCTCTGCCTCCACGTACTTTGGTTCTGCCTCTAAAGTTCTCAATCATCATTCTCCTACGTTAATTTTCTTTTGGTCGGAGCACCATTCCCCTATTATTGTGCGTAGGTTTTGCGTAAGATGAGAAATTGAAGGGCTTGATTGTTTTTCAATCATCATCATTCCCCTCTGTCATAGTTCTCAATCGATTTTGTTTCAGATTTCTTTTTTCGTTTTCGATTTTGATATCGGTGTCGCTTTTGGCTTGATTGTTTTGATTGCGATTTCATTTTCCACTCTCTTCCTTGTCTTTTGGCTCGCTACTGGGTGTCCATTTCAGTTAGGGATTTCCGGGGGTAGATGGTGGTTCTTCACCAGTGGTTTGAGTGGCAAGACGATGGCAGTGGACGCTAGTTCTGGGTTGAGCAAAATTTGTTGGGGCGAAGGTGTTTTAGTCTTTTTTATATTTTAAATATCAATATTAAATAAAACTAAAATTTCAATTTTATAAATATGACAAACATATTTTTAAATTTTATATTCATTTGCATCTCCACGTCTACATTCATTTTTATTTTCATTACAATCGTTTTCAACATATCAGACGGGTCATTAGATACTAGATATTAGATTTTCATACGCACTGATTAACGTTGTAGACTAGGCTTCATGAAGGAAGACAATTAACACGAGAGGGAAATATTTCTTTCGTCGATTTCTTACTTGACTCAAGTTTAAATTAGCTAATACTGAATCTTGGATAATTTGTCAGGGACAAGACGCTTGTTATCAAGTGTATTCGTTTTATTTCATTAAATATCTTTCTATTTTCTATGCAAGTTTTAGCGTTCATATTGTACAGATTATTCTATTAATTAAATGAATAGTGCACAAGATTTTACGTGTCGGAGGATTGATGAGCATGGCGGTAAAGATAATAACGCCATGTTTAGTTCATGGAAAGTTACTGGAGCGGAAGGGAAGGAGCAAATATAGTAAGCAGTGGAAGAGCAACGTTCAGTACGAATGAATTGTACCCCATTCCTCATTCCATGAGGAAATAACCTTTATCATTGGATTCATGGAATGTTACCGTTTAGCGTGGGAATTAGTGAACAATTTTGAACTCGTCGAAGTCTCTTAATTACTTGAACAATGATATGGACAATACTTATGCACTTGGTCTTATATAATTAATATACTCTTGTCTAATAAAATTGAGACAGGCAGATTTTAATGTGTTAATAATATTGATAATAATAATTTATTATAGGATAAATAATTTATGAAAAACTCACATGTCTTAATTTAATTGAAAAAAGTGCCTTTCTTAATTTATACTCCCTCCGGTCTTATTTATAAGTCATTTCTATCAACCTCATCAATACCAATACAATAAAAGTACGAAGAATAAAAGTAAGTAAAATTTCAAACATGTCTCTATATAACACATCTAAAAAGTAATGTTCTGTTATTTTTTCTCTCTTATAAAGGGTAATTTTAAAAATACCTCTTAAATATTACCTAAAAAGACGCACCATGACTTATAAATGGGACCAAATAGACCTTCTAAAATAACACTTATAAATGATACTAGAGGCAGTATGGTTAAGTATATAATTTTTTTCCAGTAGTATTATTTCAATCAATTAATTATTGTATTCTTTTCATTTCTCTATCAAATTTCTGCTCTCCCAAACGTGATAATGTAAAAATATTCATATTTTATTCTACACTGCGGGGAATTGATTAATAATATATTCCCATTCCCACTTCTTTATAATCTATTCCAATATACCAAAGTACTGTAAAAAGGCGAGAACATGTGCGGTGTGCCACTTAATATAAATATAATAGGGTGTGATTCCGGACGAGTGGGGCCGTCAGGCTGTCACAGAAGCGATCGGTTCCGTCGTGAGTATGGGCTGGAGACCATTTGGTTCGATGGATAAAAAGAAGATTATAATATAATACGTGTAAAATAATTTAGGATTTCGATATATTATACATATAATAGATAACAGAATTAGGAATCTGAATAAAAACGGTAAAATTAAAGAAAAGTACGAAGAATAGGTGCCATCGAACTATGGTCTGCTCGGCCATTCGATAAAGAATAGGGTGCTAACGGGACATGAGGTGCTCCCGCCATTTGTCTAGTGGGCTGACGCTGACTGCTGAATTATTCTTCATTCTCTATAACATGCCCCGTTAATTTGTCTGTTCATTGCTAATTAGAATCTAAAAAGTGCGTGTGTGTGTGTTTTAATTTTTTCATGAAATGAATTTAAAATTTAAAGCAGCAAATTAGTGTGCAAGACACATCTAATTACATGACACATCAAGATGAACACGATGTTGGGGAGATAAAGGCCCTATTTGATACGAGGCATCATGTTTTGAAAGATCGAGAATGAGATTGGGATTGAAATTGAAAGTGAAATCAAGAGTGAGAATAAATTTTAAAATGTTGTTTGGTACATTGAGGGATTAAAAAAAATGACTCTGAGATTAAACCAAAAATATTACAAGAAAGACGCAAATGTCCCCATATTCTTCCTTCCACTCAAATCTTCTAGCCATCCCTAAATCATCATTCCCTCCATAAGCTACAACATGCTTTACTTTGTTGTAGTTTGAAAAAGTTGTAAACAAACAAATAACCACTACTTAAAAATTTATGAAGCACGGATTAAAAATCTAGAAAAATCTGCAAACAATTTCAAGGGGTGAGGAGCATGAACAAAATGAGCCAATGCTCAAACTCCATCTCTATTTTCATTAGAGAGGGTGGCTTTGTTTTCGCCCGCCTTACTTCTGCCACACTGCTTGTGACCCAGAAACAATGAAAACGCGATCTGCATCCAGATCTGAAGAGAAGGGTGAAGGGAGGAAAACAAATGAATGAAACTTGAACTTGAACGGCAAAGATGCAACCTACATCTAAATTCGAAGAGAAGGGAAAGGGAGGAAGACAAATGGATATACTCAAATTCGAGCTCTAACCCATTAGATGCCGCAAACATAAGGGAGGTTATTTGGTAAAGGGAGAGAGACGAGAGGGCACATGAGGGACAAGATGGTGAGAGGATGGGGGAGAGAGATGTGAGGGCAAGGGATGACAAAGGCAAAAAGAGAGAGGAGAGTGAGAGAACGGGATAATTTGGTTAAAAAAAAAAATCAATCTTAGAATTAATTTCTTAATAATAGGAGAAGGTGTTACTAGATATAATTTTACTTAGATGGGATTGAGCTTGATATTAAATTTTTTTAATCCCTCTTACCAAACATAAAAACATAGGACTACTCAATTTCAATCTCAATCTCACTCTTTTAATCCTTGTTACCAAACATGTGCTTGTTTCTTTGGCTAATGGCTAACAAAATACTCGGACTTAAATCACAAGGCATTTTTCTTTTCCTTTAAACTTGGTCCAAAATGTTCTTTTATTTTACCCGCCTCGAAGTAATTGAAGGGGGTGGTACATATTTGTACGGCGGCTGCTTGCATCCGATCAGTTCAATGCCCTGTTGGCCAACTTCCAATTAACAAGAAAGCCACACGATCAACAAATTAGTTGCTAATTTGCTATAGCAAGTTTTGGATTCTAATAATACCTCAAGCACCACAGGGATTATGAGATTATTATTGAAATTAAACCCTTACTGGCCCAACACTGGATAATGTTCTCCGCGATAATCTTGTGAGATGCCAACGAAACTGCTGGCAACACTCTTGCTTTGCGTCAGCGGTTTCCACCCCTTGCCCTTTCCTCGACTGAACTCTTTTAGTTTTTCAGCAGGACTTTAATACTGACGTGTAGTTTTTTCTTTTGATTTCCCTAGTTATAAAAAAAAAAGAAATTATTAGATCAAAACCGACCTTCTAATTCATTAATTTCCACCAATAATTAACGCATTAACCTTCACAATTTTCATTATAACTAAAAACCACAACTAGGCAACATTTCAACCGTGCTTCCGCTCTGGAGCTCTGGTGTCGACAGTGCAGACAGGCGACGGCAGTGTCGCCACTCGCCAGCATCGGTGCTCGACAATGGCGGAGGCAGGTAGTTTTTTTCTTTTGTTTTTTTATTTTTGAAAAAAGGGGGAAAAAAAGGTATCTTGGTAAACGAGGCTCAGACCTATTTCGGCCTTTCATTGGATTTTATTGTTAAAAAAAAAAAATTCTCTTAGAAGGTACTCTACTAGTTTATTGCCTCTCTACTTGCGTAAATCCCTGTGTTATATATATATATATATAGTAGAAGGATATGGAGGCTCGCACCAGCCTCCAAGCAGCTTCACACGCTCGCCCGATCAAGACACCTCTCTCCTTGCAATTCGTCTCTCGTTTTCCAGTGATCTCGAGCTCCCCCGCCACACTATCATGGGAACCAATGCGGTGCCAGCCGACTCCGACGCCATGAAACCACACGTGGTCGTTCTGCCAAGCCCTGGCTTGGGTCACGTGACACCCCTCTTGGAGCTGGCGCTGCGCCTTGTTACCCACCACGGCTTTCGCGTGAGCTTCCTCAACATCACCACCGAAGCTTCCGCCGCTCAAAACCAACTGCTTCGCTCCCCTCGCATTCCGCCCGACCTCCACGTCGTTGATCTCCCTCTTGCTGACGTGTCCACCCTCTTGTCCTCCGAAACCACCGTCGTCGTCCGTCTCTCTCTCATCGTGCAGCAAAGCTTGCTCTGCTTGGACACACTCCTAACAGAATTCACTCCCAAGCCTCGAGCTCTCATCATTGATCTCTTTTGCACCCAAGCTTTTGATGTGTGCGAGCAGCTCTCCATTCCCACCTTCACGTTTTTCACCGCCTCTTCCCACTTGCTCGCTTTCTCTTTGTTTCTTCCCAGGCTTGACAGGGAAGCTGAGGGAGAGTTCGTGGACCTTCCTCGACCCGTCGAGGTTCCGGGTTGTGCACCCATCCGAACCGGAGACTTGTTAGACCAGGTCCGAAATCGCAAGATTGATGAATACAAATGGTACCTCTACCACCTCAGTCGCCTTCCCATGGCCGCCGGCATTTTACTCAACACCTGGGAGGGTCTCGAACCCGTCACGCTCGCTGCTCTTAGAGAGCATCCATTCTACGGGCAGATACCAATCCCACCAGTTTACCCGGTTGGACCGGTCATCAAAGAAGCCGGAGCCCAGTGTGTGGCTTGGCTTGATAGGCAACCTCCCGAATCGGTGCTGTTGGTGGCACTGGGTAGCGGTGGCACTCTGAGCGGGGAACAAGTTACTGAGTTGGCTTGGGGTTTAGAATTGAGTCAGCAACGGTTCATCTGGGTGGTTCGAACGCCGAGCGACGTGAGTGCAAATGCCTCATTCTTCAATGCAGGAAGCGATGCCGACGATCCAAAATCTTACTTGCCGGAGGGATTTGAGGAGAGGACGGGGGAAAGAGGGTTGGTGGTGCCGTCATGGTGTCCGCAGGTGGAGATTTTAGGTCATGCATACACGGGGGGGTTCATGTCTCACTGTGGGTGGAACTCGACGCTGGAGAGTGTGGCGCATGGAGTGCCGATGATCGCTTGGCCGCTTTACGCTGAGCAGAGGATGAACGCGACGATGCTGGTGGAGCAAATTGGCGTAGCGGTTAGAGCAGGCGAGGGTAGTGGAGGCGTCATTGGAAGGAAGGAGATAGAGAAAGCGGCGAGGATGACAATAAAAGGTGAGGAAGGGAAGGCCATGAGACATAAGGCTAAAGAGTTGAAGCAGAGTGCTTCTGAAACGTTACGCAATGGCGGATCGTCGTACGAGTCGCTGGCTTCTCTGTCTGACCAGTGGAGGGCATGACCTCCTTTTCCTTCAACCTTTAGTTTGACTGCTCGAGACTTCCTCTGAGACGGGGAGGGTTCATTTTATTCGTACTTGAATAAACTGAAGACGGGTGAAGATAATTGAAGATAAATAACAGGGACAGAGGGTGGCTTTGGGTTTCATCCTCGAAAATCAATTTAACTCTCTCTTTTAAGTTAAAATCACTTAATTAATTAAAAACAGTTTGTTTTGGATTGAATTTCCATGCTCATCGGTGCTCATCCTTAGCATGAAATCTGGATTATCCAGATAAAACGTTTGAATGCTTCAGATTTAATATATTATTATATTATAATATAATATATTTATTAAAATAAAAATTATAAAATAATTTTAATAAACTTGTATCTTTAATTTGGTCTAAATTTAATTTAATGGATCTAATTTAATATTAAAATTTTTATAATTGATGTATATTGATTATTTAGATGCACTCTATATAATTCTGAATTTTGTAGAATAGATTTGAATAATGAAGATGCATCAATTATAAAAATTTTAAAATTAAATTAAACTCTTTAAATTAAATCTAGATCAGATTAAAAATAAAAAATTTATTAAAATTATTTCATAATTTTTATAAATTTTTATCTTAATAAATATAATATATTATAATACATTAAATCTGAACTATTTAAATTAAATCACGTGTTCATCCTTGAGATGAGCATAAAAACTGGTCCTATTTGTTTTACCTTATTTTATGAAAAAAATACTTATTTTTTAAAAAATTATTTTATGAGTTTTTAATATGTTTGTTTAAACTTTTAAAAATAATCAAAATTTTAAAAAAATTCAATTTTTGATTATTTTAAAAATTTATTTTAAATAGTTTTTAAAAATAATCTAATACAATAGATGAGAGATTATATTTTAAAGAGGTAAAATACATAAATATATCATAAAATTTTTAAATAATATAATAATAAATTATTTTTATAAAACAGAAATAAAAAAAGATATTATAAAATTTAAAAATAATTAATTAATAATTACTCTTTTATTATTATAACCAAACATAAAATAATATTTACTTTCAATAAAATCTATGCAAAATAACTATCTTTTTATAAAATCTCTCAATTATAAAAAGAAAAACTTATTTTTTAAACTTAAATAAATAGCCACTAACTAATTACGCGAAGTTCCCTGTGGGACTCGTAGATGAAGGGATCAGTTATTGCAAACACGTTGCGTTACGTGGGTTGATTTCCGTTCAAATAAAGTCATGTGAAACCCCAGGGACAGCATCGCATTATCCCACGACATTGGTCTCTACCAACTTTATAATCTCAACGGTGATCTCAGAATCAGATCTGTAATTTTTCACTCTGGTCATGGAAAAAAAAAAAAGATCTGTAATTTTTCACACAATACTCACCAGTAGTCCCGCGCTCTTTAGATTACGCTCCAAGAGAGTTTTTCCTTTTTTTAACCCAGCCAATAATTTTACAGGCTGCCTGCGTAAGAAAAAACGGATTAATTAACAGATGTGCTTCGTTTTCTTCCCCCCGGCGAAGATGTGCTTCGTTTTATTGTTTTTACTTTTTTTCAAACGGAACATCCTTGTTCGTTGGAACAGCGCCACAAACAGTTATATCCTCCCTCCCGCCCACGTACTGTATCGAAATTTCAAAATATTGTTTCAACTTGCAATCAAATATTAATATTAATTATTTTTGCACTTTACTATTTTTTATTAATGAAAATAATCATATGGAGCATACTATGTTTTTTTTTCCCTGTAAAAATTTTAACCGGCGTAGAATCTTTCTAATTTTGTCTTGGAAAAGATTGGTGTTACTCGTGAAATAATAATAAAACATAGAGCGAAATGCTTAAGGGTCACGACGAGTGCACGCGCTTTTCTCAGATCTGCTGCATCTGCGTTCGCATTATTCTTCTTCCATTTCTGCATTCACTTGCAGAGCTAATTTCATTTTTTCGCTTAACATCCCAATATGAAGGACCTACTGTTATGATCAAAGGTTCCAGCTATGGAGACTGAGCTCAAAGACCTGAATTCGAATCCGCCTGAACTCGATAGTTCAGCAGATCCCGACCCCGTCCACGATGACGCCTCCACCAAGGACGACCGTCCTCTGCTCAAGTCGGACTCAACTTCCCACTTCTCTTCTGGCCAACTCGAAGACATTGAGAAGAAATTCGCTGCCTTTGTTAGATATGATGTTTACGGAATTATGGGACGCGGAGAGTTGCCGACGAGGGAGAAGGTCTTGCTTGGGTTGGCATTGGTCACGCTGGTTCCAATAAGGGTGGTTCTGTGCTTCACCCTGTTATTCACCTATTACTTGATATGTAGGATTTGTACGCTATTCTACTCCCCAAATCGGGAGGAAGAACAGGAAGATTATGCGCACATGGCTGGGTTGAGGAGGACTCTGATTATTCAGAGTGGGAGAACTATCTCCAGGCTCATCCTTTTTGTTCTTGGGTTTTATTGGATAAGCGAGACCTGCCGGTTTACGAATACTGATGACAAGTCTGCCACTGAGGTACTTCATTTCCATCCCTTTTGCCTTAAGATTAATAATCGTCATGCTTTTCCTACCTAGGTTCAGGAATATAATGGAAACTTCGCTCGTTACTTGCTGTTTCATCATTTTCTGGACGCACGCTTCCCATAGGTTAATAGTTAATATCCTATGTGTAATCAAGGTTGGAATAAATTCGGTTATGCTCTAAACTTAATCCGTTTAGGAGGACCGACGCCATCATGAATGATGATGCGTCGCGGAACTAGCATTCACTCATCCAGACACATTAGCAGAGGTGTTGAGGCCTGTGATCAATGCAGTAACTAAAATATGCCTATATTTTAGTGTTCTTCCATATTTGACGCTTGCAGCGTGACAATAGGATGACAATTTTCGTTCCTCTTCTTATTTTTGAGACTTGCTGGGTTATAGGATGCTCGTTTTGCTGCTAATTTGCTTGCTCAGGAACACGGACTCGGTGTATTTCCTCCCTTCACAGAGGGGCAAATGGAATGCGTTTCAGCACCTATTGCATAATTAGCTTTTGATCGTGTTATTTCTTTACTATTTTCGGAAGATTTTTCTGTTTCAGTATATAAATTTTTGTTTGGCCTGATTCATCCTTTTCTTCCAATGTGAGAAGGAAGGCAAACAGCAGCCTGAAGAGATGGAAGCACCTGGTGTAATAATATCTAACCATGTGTCATACTTGGATATTTTATATCACATGTCTTCTTCCTTCCCAAGTTTTGTTGCTAAGGTTTGTGATGTTCATAACGCTTTTGATTTATCCTTTTCATGCTTTTACTGACATTTTGAATTATTTCTGACGTATTTTAAACTTTTGATTTCAATTGTGGGTTTCATTGCTGAAGAGATCAGTGGCTAAACTTCCTCTAATTGGTCTTATCAGGTCTGTTGGCTTTCTTAATGTGTTCTTGGGTTATTGTACTGGAATATCTATCATTGGGAACTTCCGTCCTTTTCCTTCCTTGTTGCTCTTTAGATGTAGTTGATTAGCTCTTTCAATTTGGGATGAATTTGTAATTTATCAAATGAGAATGCTGCATTCTATCTCTGACATAATGTGCATGCATTTTCCTTTATCAGTGAGATAATTTGATAACCAGGACTTACATATTATGGCATGTTTTATGGCAGCAAGTGCCTTGGTTGTGTTTATGTTCAGCGGGAGTCAAAGTCATCAGACTTCAAGGGTGTTTCAGGTGAGGTGCATGAAGGAAATACCTCACCTTCCTGCTCTCCTGTTGTGCGAATTTCTTACCTTATGTTCAATGGCATTCTAATTGCTTCTGGCCTTTTGCATCTTGAATTGGTAAATAAAAGGCTGAAGTAAGTAAATTTTTACTTAGTTTTCAACAAATACATTGCCATTCATCAAAGAACCTTCTTCATCTTCTGTTGGTTGAATGATAACAGAAACATACACAAGCTATATTCTGGAATTACATTAGAGTTGAAATGAATGGGTAGACCTTGCTTCTTTTAAATGTGAGAATGCTTTCTTGAGAACCTTACTTGCAACCGCTAGTAGGATGAACTCAATAACTGTTGAGTTTAAACATTCATTGAATCTAGAAGCAATTTGGGCTGAATTTCATGGTAAATGGAAAAGAACTTGGAATTGGCTTGAGTATGGATTATGGAAAAGGGAGCTATGCTTGAATTCTTTCCTTTAGCAGTTGGTGTTAAAGATTAAATACAATTCTCAAGTAGAAGAAAATTTTAGTTGTTTCCTGTGTCTTTCTCAAGCCTTAACTTGGACATTTTTCTAAGTAACATAAGGTCAATGAAACTAGACTTTCTCAATCCCTTGTGATTTGTTGTATGTTGACTTTAGAGGTGCCTAAGTTGTCATTTTCATCATGTACATGCACACATATTAGTCCATCAAACTAGGGTCCTAGTATGTTGTTCAATACAATGTGTTATGCTCTGGAGATTGTGTGTTGCACATTGTTGCTGGATTTTATTTTTCTCCAATCGTTATTCTCAGATGAATGGGCCTGCTATTGCTGTCCCCTGCAGGTGTTGTCACTGAAAGAATTCAAGAAGCTCACCGTAACAATTCTGCTCCTATTATGATGCTATTTCCAGGTATTACCCTTAGATTTTATATTGTTATTGGTTATATTTACCTTTTCCTTGAGTATCATCATGATGTTATCTTCCTTGGTAGTTTTGAATATGGGAAGAATGGCATGTTTTTTCATTATCAGTTTTATGATGTCATGAAATGATTCTCTTTGTGATGTCTATTGATCCGCACTTTTCTTCAGTTACATTAATCTTGTTAGTTTGACAAGGTGACTTTATTCTTCGATGGTCTGGGATTCTCTCTGCAATAAGACTTTGGAATTACACATGCTTTTGGATAAAATTGGGGTTGGGCTCTTGATTTTGTTTTGATAAAACTGATGGACCTTTAGGCTAATAAAATTTCTATGGTAAGTTCATATCGATACTAAATGTATGCCTTTAGAAATTTTGGTTTCTTTCCAAAATTTCCTTGTTTCAATGCAACAAGAACAATAACAATCTTTGTTCCAATAGGTGGAGTTGGCTACATAAATTGCATGATACTATTGTGCTCTATCATCCATTGTTTCCATAATATAGAATAAAAATAAAATACGAACCCAAAAGACTTCTTGCGGTGGCATTACATGTGACTCAGTATGATTGCTTTTAAACCTACAAACAGAAATTAAAAGCAAAAAACTTTGATACACTTTCATGCACTTGTGTTTGGAAGTAGTATAATATGATAGATGTTGCTCCTTCTCTTGTAATTGATTTTCTGCTTTTTCTGTAATCTGGATCTGATTATACTGGTTGTTGCATAACTGGCAGTTTATCCTATGACCTATGAATTTATTGAATTAGGATGCAGGTCTCAAAATATAATTATATCACCTAAGTTAAGTTGGACTATTGCAGCTTGAAGACCGAGTAGTCTACCATTTGTGGCTCAAATTCAATAACCAGCTACTGATAAGCATAGTTAAAGTAGAAGTAGCAGGAATCAATCAGAGAAATGTCTGGGAACTGTCTAGAAAATTAAAGCCCATACTTGGACTCAAGGCGACTAATGTTGAACTAGAAGACCCTAGGAGCATGCATCAAAATTGTTTTGAAGACTGAAAGCATATCACTAGTTAAAACAACACTGGTTGATCATATAGTTATAAATTTCTGATCTAATTAAGCTATAAGTTTTAAAATGAGCTCCTGTATGAAATCTAAACCAGATATTTTTTATCTTCAAGCTTAATGCCTTCTTTATTGTTTTTCTGCATCCACTGTCATATTTACTTCTACCGTCAAAGGTGATATCTATTATATATAGTACAGTTCATAGATCTAAACTTGTTGTACATATTGTTGTTCTCACAATTATGTTATTTTACTGATTCTGGGTATTCTGCAGAAGGTACAACCACAAACGGGGACTTTCTCCTTCCATTCAAGACTGGTGGTTTCTTGGCAAGTTTACCTGTGCTACCTGTAATAGTAAGATACCCTTACCAGAGATTCAGTCCCGCCTGGGATTCCATATCTGGGGTAAGTAATTATCAAGTATTCAATGATCAAATTTTCCTGCTTTTTTGTGGTCTCTATAAAGAAGATAATTTAGCATCCAACATCTAGGCTTCTCAGTTTTGCTAAGAATGTCAGGCTTTGACCTTAGAGTTGTGGTTTGAATGTGAGAAGTTATTTAGTACCCTGATCTGAGTTGAAGTTTGATCTTGGGTTTGAAATTTGAGAGGTAGTCAGTGGTTGGCTAGTTGCCTTACACCTAGTTGAAAATGCCAGTCATTGGTGCAGATGAAATGTTAGTGATAGGTACCTAAGTAGGATAGGAAACCTATTCAAAAGCTAGCTGTTAAGGTGAAAGAATTGAATCACTTAAATTTCCCATTGAGCATTCCATACTGCGCAATGTGGGATTTGATATCTCATATTACGAAGTCTTCATTAGTTAGTTTAAAGTCTTTTGGTTTGTACTTGCTTGAAAAGTCATGGGTCATTTAGGCTGTTGGATTGCAGACCAGCTTTTGTGCATCAAACCTAACAACTTTTCTGTACTTTTAGCTTGTTGATAATTAGACTGAGGTTTTTCTTTTTCTACAGCAACTTTAACTTGTATTCTTAGTGCAGGTGCGCCATGTAATTTTACTTCTCTGTCAGTTCGTAAATCATATGGAAGTGACAAGGTTACCTGTATACTACCCCTCAAAGCAAGAGAAGGATGACCCCAGACTATATGCTATTAATGTTAGAAGGTTGATGGCTAGTGAGGTATGCAACTCCAGTTAACTGATATATGGTATTAAAAAAATTTGAAAACTAATCACACTACATCTAATATAAACTCCAGCTTAACATCTATTTCTTTGGGTTGTATCTCACTGGTTACATGATAAGGATTCCTAACCAGTTCAGATACTAGGTTGGTTGGATTTGACTTTTGAATACGGTTTATCTGAAATAGAAGTTTATAAGGAGTGGGACTAGACTGATAGAAGATGAGGAGGGGAAAAGTTAAGGATCTATAGAAATTGAAGCAAGGACTGCTTTTATCCTGCCATTAATATACATTTTGCACGGATGTCTTTTGTTCTAAATTTTTTTTACAGATTATATGGTAATTTGGTTTATCTTGTTTGTCGTTCCCTTTTATTTTCACATGATCTATAGCTAATGCAAAAGGGGTGTGGGGATTCTCTTTTCAATTTTTTCTTCAGTGTCAAGTGCTGGTTTGTGATAGTGAAAATCTTATTCCTCACACTTTGTGATATTTTGTAAAATTTTATTCCTGTTATTTTCTGGGGAGCCAGTTGTTCATTCTAAGGGGACTACTTACGTCTTATTTCTAGTGCTATTGCATAACTAATTGTTGGTGCTTACTGGATCTAGTTTATTAAATTTTCTGCTTGCAGGGTAACTTGATACTTTCGGATATTGGGCTAGCAGAAAAGCGGATATATCATGCTGCTCTGAATGGTAATAATAGCCTGCCTAGTGTTTTGCATCAGAAAGACGATTGATTGTTTCATGGCCCCGGTCTGAAATGATATGTATTTCAAGTTTCTTAGTTTCAAATTTGGTAGTTGCTCATGAATGGACAGCTTTTGCGCGGGGTGTCTATGGCTCTTAAACTTCAGAATGGCAGTCGCGTAATTTTCTTGTAAATAGTGTGAGCACCGAAGTGTCTTAATTGCTTCCCCCCCTTTCTTCCTCGCCTTTTTTAATGACCCTAATCATATGGGTTATGTTTGAAGCACCCAATAGATGAGTTATTGTCAACTTCCATTGTGATAAATGATGGCGTTTGTTTTCTAGAGAGGCCATGAAACATAGATCTGAACCTTATCTTTCGTGTTCCTGCAGGTATGTAATGCAATTGCTAATTCGGATTGGGGGTTTGTATATTCCTTGTATGGTTCTACCTTGTCAGGGAAAAAAAAAAGAGCAGAAATTTAAGAAAATATAGAAAATCATGTGCAACACAAGCATTCATATAATGTTATTTGTCTGATTATAGGTACTGCCTCTGGGTTTTGGTGCGATTTTCAGAGCAGGGGCCTTTTATTTATTTTATTGATTTATATATATATATATATATATATGTGTGTGTGTGTGTGTGTGTGTGTGTGTGTGTGTGTATATATGTATATAATTTTTTTTTTGGGTGGTCAAGAAATCTTCTGCAGTTGTGAGCTGGTTCAGGAATACCGTTGCTGATTCTGTTTATTTGGTGTAATGCTTGCGGATAACAGGTTTAGGTTGTAAGTTATAACGTGCTAAAGAAATTAATCCATGTAGGTGCTGACTAAGCAGTTCCAACATTTTATGGAGGACCTAGATAACCCGACATTTATGTTTATTCACCCAAAGCATTAAAGTTCTGAATTTGGACTAACATCCTTTTATCCATCCCCCTCATTGAATCATTCAATTTTTCGAAGGATCTACTATGCTACTCAATGAGAACTATCTAATATCTTCTATTTAGACTTTATTTTGAAAAATGTCCTATATTATAAATTATATGTAATGCACAGGAAGGAGTATCTAATACCTTGAGTATTCTTTGGACAAACAATGAACATCAGATAAATGGGCACAACAGTGTATGATGAACCAATCAATCCTCTCAGATGAGGAACTACACGTGACTCCAACGGGTTTCAGATTTTAAGGGACACCTGAACGCGTTCAACTTGGGTCCTTATCACCTTGACGAGCACTTATCATGGTGATGAAATTTACAGCATCTAGATTTTTATTTGGAAGGTTTAAATTTAAATTTTTTATTTTTATTTTTATTTTTTAAATAAAAAATTATATAAATACATTCCTCATCAATTTAGGTACATTTGATTTGAATGATTTAATTTAATATTAATTTTTTTAATAATTTTAATAAATTGATTATCCAAATTTTTTTGGATAGTTCAAATTTAAAATTTTTAACTTTTAATCTTTTTAAAAAATGTTTTTAAAAAGTGCTCATTATAAGACTATCTTTATTTTTAATATTTTATTTGTCAAAATAAAAATTATAAAAAAATTAATATTAAATCTAGACTATTTATATTAGATCTAGATTCTAGATAGTTAATTCATAAAAATTGTGAAAAAAATTAATAATAAATTAGACTATTCAAATTAAGTATGTACTTTTCATATTAATGATTAACATATTTATTAAAAAGTTTATAAATTTTTATGGGAAAATTACCACAAAAAACCTCATCACAAATTTATTTGCTAAGGAGTTAGGTTGGATTATGAAATCAGGCCCTTCATTGACATTAATTGTTGAGGGCTAAATGACACATGCTCTTGCTATAACAAAAATGAAGTAAGGTCTTTCACTGCCAATATTTTACACAAAATCCTTTAATATTATTATGTCATAAGGTCTTTCGTTGTCAACAATTTTATGTCAATACTCAATACAAGGTTCTTTAATGTTAATATGCCAAACAAGGTCATTGGGTGGCAATTTATTGAACCTTAAAGCACGTTTGAAGCGTATGCGATGTTTCTTCTATAAATTTGAATATTTTGTAAATTTGAACAAATGGAAGAAAAATTGCATTTCTTTAAAAGGTAGATGCATATCATAAAATAAGAGTCGCATATAATTGAAAATACCTACATATGGTTCTAAAATATGACGTTAAGTTGTATAAAAACATGACATTAAGTCTAAAATTTTCAAAATATCCAAAATATTTATTCAAATGAATGGAAGAAAAATTGCATTTCCTTGAAAGGTGATTGCTTATTGTGAAAGAAGAGTTACACTTACAATGTTTCTTTCATATATTCAAATATTAATTTTGTATATTCGAATAAATGTAAGGAAATTTGCATTTTCTTGAATGTGGTTGCATATCATAAAAGAAGAGTCATATATGGTTGAAAATACTTGCATATGGTCTTAAAACATAAGATTAAATGTAAATTTTTAGGATATCCAAAATGGTTATTCGAATAAATGAAAGAAAAATTACATTTTAAGAACATCCAAAATGTATATTTGAATAGTGTTTAGAAATTAGGGTTTAAATATTGTACCAATGTTGTATTTTAAAAATATCACAAATGCATATTCTAAAAAGTTTCTCTTTTTTCATGAGAAAACTAAAGGATATTCTAAAAATTTAAATACTTATTTTAAAAATTTGCTCATTTTTCGTGAAAATGCATATGGACATTCTAAAAACGAGAATGGATATTTTAAAAATTTGTTCCTCTTTCATGAAAACACTAAAAGATATTTTGAAAACATGAATAAATATTATGAAAATTTGCTTATTTTTTATAAAAACATTAAAGGATATTATGAAAATGCATATAGATATTATGAAAATTTGCTCATTTTTTTATGAAAATATCAAAGGTTATTTTGAAAACACAAATGGATATCTTAAAAATTTACTCATTTTTCATAAAAGCACATAAGATATTTAACTATGCTTTTGCTTATTCTAAAAATTGTATCATTTTTTATAAAAATATCAATAGATATCTTGAAAATGCAAATAAAAATTTTGAACATTTTCAAAGTTTCGAAGAAAATACTAATGATCACTACTGTTATATGTAAAGCTTGATCCCACTAAATACAAATATAAAAAAATAATAATTGAACACCAACAAATTTATTTTTCATTAAACAATAGCGTGTTCTTACATGCATTGACAACATAACTATATCACAAGATAATACATGAAAAATTACATTATAACAAGATATACATAAGTACGCTATTACATCTCATGGATTTTGCAAGTACAACTGTGATAATTCATTTGAACTTTTCATGTACAATTAACCCCTACAAGCTATTGAAATTAATCCCAAAACAAGCATCTTCAGATTTTGCTCCCTGAAATTATCAAAAGTCTTTTGGTCATCCAAAAATTTATTTTCAACATTAGTGTCAAAAGACAGACCTTTTTCTAGATCACTGGTGTTGACAATGTTCTAAGCATCCAATATGCAGCCATAATAGACAAACATACAAGGTAAGTAACTTGAATATAAAATGGTAAAGGTAGTTTGATGGAAAAATTAAACGAAGACCCAAATTTGAAACTTAGGTGCACCAGCCTTTACTTAAATAGATTGAAGGCTCGTTAGTCTCCTTAAATCCATCACATATAGCTTTAAAGACAGCAGTTCTCTCCAATTTTCGTTTACACAAAACAAGCCAAGATCTTTAGAATTCTGGTCTAAAAGCTATAAGGGATCATTTAAATGAGTTAAAAACAATATATTTGTTGCGCTAAACCGGGGAGGGGAGATTCAATTAAATAAATAATATATTTTCCTAAAGCCTTTTGGAAAATAAAGTTCCATGAATATTGTGATCCATGCTCCCTTGGAAAGAACCTTCATGATGAGAAAGGCCCTGTTGCAGAGACTTACCCGCCATATGTTGCTTCCAACATGAGCACGCTCATAATCAGCGAAGTTGATGGTTAACAAAGAACAAAGAAAAAATTAAAGTTAATATATTTAAGGAACTGGATTAAAGGGTTTTGTAGTGGACTTGGCAGCTACCCTGTTGCTATTGCTGAGATTTATGGAATTATCGAAGGACTTGAATTGTGCTGCCACTTGGGATACAAGAACGTGGTTATTTACGCTGATTTTGCAGCAGCATAAATCTCATAACCAGAGATCAGATTGAGGATCTCCCCTACCATAATATTATTCAGAAGAGTCGTGATTTAATCTACTTTACTTGTAATGCTTATCTTAATTTCATTTACCATGAATTTAACTATAATGCTGATAGTTTAGCTAGACATAATTTTAGAACCACTCAGGAGTTTTATATTTTTGATCAACCCCTACCTTGTATAATCATGGGTCAAGTAAGCATTTTATCATTTTCTCCGTTAAATTTTCTACGTCCAGTAGTTTCCTAGCTTCACCAGGAGAAAGTAGTTTCCGTGTGTTCCTCTCTAAGGCACTTGTGTCAGATTGCTTACGGAAATGTCAAATAACTTCAGGAGTGACATCGATACTTCTTTTCATGCAAAGGAACTCTTGAAAATTAAAACAAGACGTAGGGAGATTCCCTTTCTTCCCCTTTCACCTCCTCGCTACCTGGAATCAAATGACGCACCCTGTCAAGAATATGTTGGAGCTTTGCATGAGCTTTTTCATGTGAATGCCCTTTCTTTTAAATATATGACTTTTTTTTAAGTAGAAATGGGAACTAAAATTCAACCAGAACTATAAACAATACGAAGCACAAAGCAAAACAACAAAGAAACAAAGAAAACTTTCATAAAAAATTATTTAAAAACACTTAACATTCGTTGTTTATCAATGGTGTCTACTATTTTTTTAATATTTTTTATTAAATTAAGGGTCATTTTGGCCTATTAACTTCTATTTAAAGAGTCATTTTTGTCCTTCAACTCAAATTTTTTATAATAAAAAATATTATAAAAATATAATATGAGATTCACGAACAGTCAACTAACGGTAAGAAAATGATAGATAATAAGAAATGGAATTTTTTAAGTTAAAAGATAAAATTAATTTACAGTTGAGGTTAGGGTCATTTGTGACATTTCATATACAATTCAAGGACAAAATTAACTCTTAACCCTTTAAGCAATCATAGTTTCACCGCAACATACAAATGAATTTAGAAAAACACTTGACAGGGATTTGTCAAATATACGACTGGGGAGTACACTTAAAAGATTCAATCCTCAGAAAAACTAACTCCGAACTCATTCATCAACACCAAATATATGCATATATCAACAAGAATCCATGCTAGTTACCTGAATTAGATAATTCTTCTTCGAAGAAAAATGACAAAAATGCTAAGGCTAGTCCGATTGCAAATATGATTCAAAATTTAAAATGTTGTGATGCCCATGGCTTTGCTTGAAGACACTGATTAGGCAAAGATATAACGTAATATCAATTAAAAAGAGAAACCCAGATTGAACACAAAATCAAACAAGCACCGACTTGGGAATTGACGCACAAGGTAGTTTAGGCTTGAAGCAACGGACTTCCTTTTCATAGCCATTTTTAACGACATGCAAGAGGCTAGAGGGTTTATCCTAGAATCGGAGCATAGAACTGGGGCGGCACAAATACGAAATCCATTGCCAATCAAAGTGAACCCCTTGATGCCATCGCTCACAAATTCAAAGAGGTGGAGGAGAGGAAGGAGGTGAGGATGGAGAAAAATAACCAGGTAAGAAGGAGTAAGAAGAGGAAGAGAAAGTTGTTGCCGAAATGGCCATGGGTGCAAAGGGGAGAGGATAAGATTTGATTAAGACATTTTAGTCATTTAAAATTCTCAATTAATGTCAGCGAAGGACTTTAATTTGGAATCTCTCTCAACTCCTTCTAAGCAAACTTAAATTTGTTCAAGTCTTTTTTTGATAGTTTTCCCAATTTTTATTTTAATAAATGTTAAATAAAAATGTAAATAAAATTTAAAAATCTAGCCTATTCAAATTAAATCTAAATGATTGAGATTTGTATTTTAATCAAGAAACAGGGAGCACCATCAATTGCCGAGCACTAAAGAGAACCAGAACATGATATCAAAATTTTTACGTCCCTGACAAAAAGTAATCCCCAAGGACCACTGAACTACGATCGCTGGAACGGATGGCAGTTTGGAAATCATTGGTGCGAAGGCCAGATCAACCACATTAGCACTTGTCAAACTAAAAAGGAATCCAAAATTTTTCAAAACTCAACAAAATTTTATGTTTATAGAACCCATTTACCAGTATCACTATAGTCGATAAAATTTATAATAATAAATCACACTGTAATAGCAACTTTTTTGATAAACTATTTTATAATGCAGCTTCGCCAACGGTGATCAAATACACTACAAGAAAGGCATAGATTTAAATTAGACGCGGCATACTACACTATAGGGATACAGCTGGCGGAGGTGACGCTTTAGAAATTTAGTTTCTTCACCTCCGTGACGATCATTCTCAATTGGATTTACAGCAGATGGAGGAGCCATCAAAGTGACTTTACACCACAATCTCTAGAAAATAGAAATTCAATGAAGCCCAAAAAGAAATAAATAGAAATAAAATTCAAGCGAGGTTGTTTTCAAGGGGAAACGCAAAGGCTGCTTATAAAAGATCTCCAACGTTCGAGACTGAGTCAGAAGTAAGGAGACATATCTTCGTCGAACATTTGCATTTCTTGCCTTCTCAAGTATAGCTAGTCACCTTTCTTTAACGGTCTTCCTAAATTCAAATGACGATAAGCAGCCTCTCAAAGGTGACTGTAGAAACAGTGAAGATGTTGATAAGTGCTTTTGCCGCATTGAGATTGAGGACAGGCAATTGACAGCACTTCGCAGCCTTTTTTTTTCACTCTCACGGGTGTGGAAATTAGGATCATGCCTCACAGCAGAAATTCTGAGTGCTTCTGGAAGAATGCAGTTGCAAACTGAACCTGCCACAAGTTCAACGAAGATGATATTTAATTATGTGTCATTTATGGAGAAGCCCATCATTGCCATTAAATCTAATAAGTGATATGACCTTGGAGCTGCACAAATTTGCACGTCCATTTCCATCCCCCACATCGTATTATGTATCATAACAATTTTTCCTCCCATTATGGAATATTACTCAAGTTACATTAGAAGCTATATTAATGATGTAAAATTAATCAAGAAAGTGATTCTATTCTCTTTTAGATCAATAACAATGACTATGCATATGACAACAGGGCTAAAGGGGTAGTAAGGAAAAGAATTACGTAAATCCAGTTCTTGATGATACAGTATCCTTAAAACCAAAATCCCAGAGTACACTAACTCCTTCTTGATGCAGAATGGGGAAGGAGAAAGAGACACGAGAAGAGAAAATAACAGAGAAAGAGATAGAAAGAGAGCAGAAAGAATATCTCGAGTAGAGAAATTCAGAGAAGAGACAATATAATAGCAATTCTTATTCAATCAAAGGCCTGTCGAAATCAAATGTGTTAAGACACTACAAAGGTCTCAATTGTAACCCTAAAAATCAGAGCTTTAAAAGCAGAATATTCTATAATTCCTAATAATTAAATGCAAATATTTTGAGTAGGAGTAAGATAGAATATTTGCTTTGTAATTTTAATAAAATGTGGCTCCATAGTAATTTGGCAGTGAGATGGGAAGATTAGATTATACTTCAACAGAAGAAGTTTAGATATTTAATAGCTATTATTCAATATGATAGAAAAATTGATGAGGTTGTAGCACATAGGATCCAAGTTAGGTGGTTTAATTGGAGAAAGAACAAAAGAAGTTATTTGTAATAAAAAATACTTGAAGTTTTATCAAACTACTATAAAACCAACTATATTATATGGAAGTGAATATTGAACTTTAAAAGGACAATAGAAACATAGAGTTGGACTAGCAGAGATGACAATGTTGATATGAATGTACTAGCATACACGAAAAGATAAAATCTGAAATGAACATATATGAGAAAAAATAAGCATGGCATCTATTGAGGAGAAAATTGTTTAAAATAGTTTGGACATGTATAGAAAATATTGTGGGAGGTATCGGTGAAGAGAGTGCAATGGATAATCTTAAGCCTAGTAAAAAAAGATGGCGAAAATTCATAGAAAACATTTATGAAAATCATTGAATGGGACTTTTTAGTTAATAATATTTCTAAAAACTTGGTTAATAATAGGGCACAATAATATCGTGCAATCCATGTAATCAATCCCACTGAGTGGGATAAGGCTTCTTGTTGTTATTTTAAAATAATTAAAAAGATAACCTAGTAATTTAAGAAATTACATTTATTCAAATCAAATCCCAAAATCATTCTAATGAAATAAAAATCTTAAATTTAATTAATTTTGTATTCCATTACTTCTGTCTTGAAAATAAATCTCCATCTGATTTAGCATGTTATGGGAAGTTAAAGGAAGGAAAGATATACCTAATCTGGCCAGTCGATTTACCCATCTCGGGATTGACTTCCCTGTCAGCTTGTAACAGATGTCCTTGCAGAAATGGTTGCAATTCTTCACAATTAAATGATATGTATCACCATTGTAGTTTGTTGAATGGCGCTCCATGAACTCCCTGACCTGTACAGGATCCAAACAGGTGGTTCCTATGAATATTGACTTCCTGAACTTGAATCCAGGGCATTGCCGAGGTTCCACCTCAAAGACACCGCTAGTTGGATAGTCATGAGCTCCAAATGCATATTCTACACCATATACTGTACAGTGCAGAAGGCATGTAAGGAAAGGCAAGCCTCCATTTAAAATTGAAAATCAATAACTAAACTAAGTTCAATCAGAAGCTAAGAGGGGGCCAAGCGCAATTTTTTTTTTTTTTGCCATGCCAAGCAGCAAGTTTAGGGTATTTATAAACAAGAATGGGAAGAAGTCAGCTAATCATAAAAGAGATGGATATTTCCGTAAGTGCTCAGCTGCATTTCCCAGTTTCCTAACCCAGAGTTGTTACCATTAGTGTCAAATTAAAATTAGAAATGAAACAACATGATGAGACAATCTTAATGTTGAATTGTTGACATCAAGCTAAGAGGAGGGAGGTGATTTCCTGATGAATATAACTATCATAATGCTAAAATAAACCAAAATCTACGCCGATTTCATATTATTCACACTTCAAACAATTACCAAGTTTTTGCCCTTAGACTGTCAAATAATTGTTATACAAACATAATTTAGTGATTTCAGAAATAACTCAGAACATTCTTATATAATTATTTACAAGAATATTATTAGGCAAATTATCACATGCCTGCTAGCATCGTTGCTAACCAAGAGCACCAGGCCAGTTCCACATTCATTCACTTGTCACATGCTTCATAAGAGCACCCTCATCCAGCCATAAGATAATTTTGGTTACTTACAAAAAAGTCACATACAATGATTAAATTTAGTTTTCTCCCCTTCCAATTCTTTCTGTTTATGATGGAAAATGAAATTTCCTTTAATAAGAGCAACATGTTCCTCCACCATAGGTAACCAAGGTCTAGCGTGCGCAAACTAAGTTACTTAGATATTATGCTTGGATTGAGAGACAGATCAAATTCAAGAAAAAGAAGACTATAGTCATACCTTCGACCCCAGAGTGATAGACACCAAGGCCAGTCCAGTACATATAGCCATTCATGGGTGTCAAGTCATATACATTCAGATAAACTGGAGTTTCACCAGGACTGCAGCCATTTGAATTGACTTTGGGGAACAGAGAAAAACGGACTGCTGATTTACCCTTCAAATGAAGAGGTACCAAAGTCATCCATCCTTTCTTAGACCTCAGTTTCATCTTTCTTAAAGGAAAAACCAGCAAAGGACCTGTTTCCAACAATCATTTGAACAAAAGTATCAGCTGCATAAGTTCACACACAAAAAAGAAAAAAGGATATATTTCGCCTCACCCTAAGGAGTGCTGGTGATGGGCTGATGGCAAATGAAAGAGGAACAATTATCTCTTTAGGATCCCAGAACGTGTTATAAGATGTAATCATTCCAAATCTGTTCAGCAATTAAAAGTTCCCTTGTTTTTAATTAACAATAAAAAAGGAAGCAATTTGATACGATGAACTTCTTAGCAGAAAAGCCGTTTTCACATGTTTTAGTGACTGCTGATTTTTGCACCAGTAAAATGTAGACCACAGGGAATTCAACCCGATCACGGCAGCAAAAATAGATTAAAAAAGGGGGGAAAACTACTTAACTTTTTCACTGTGAAGTCAATACTTCCATTGCCTGTCTGACTGATTATAAGAGGGTAGAGTAAGCCTAGTATTTTGACTTCTTAAGGAATTGTCGACAAACCATATATATGTGTGTTTTTTAAAAGCCACCCCCCCGGGGGGGTGTTTTGGGGAGTGGAAGCAGAACATCAAATTCCACTCAACAAATAAAAAAGGAAGGGCTCCTGTTGACGGGAAGAAAGTTGGCCTCACAGATATTCTCTGGTCTATTCAAAATTCAGATCTATCTCTGAAAAGTACAAAAATATATACATAAATGGATCGAACAGAATAGAATAAACGCAGTAATCACAGAACCCCAATCACAGGAGTGTTTTCTTGTTTGGAAGCCGTGAAAAGAAACGAAAAGTCTCAAAAGGTCGTGATGTCTCAAAGCCCCTACTGGATGTTGTATTTTCCTAAATATCTTCTTTTTTCAACCCAAATTAGAGCAAGCAGAAAAATAAATAAAGACACCAAGGAGATATAATATAACCGCTAGGTCTGCGAGAGCGACTAACCAGTCAAAACTAAATTTAGATGAATCAAAGCGCAAAACTGTGAGAACACAGAGAGACAGTGCGTGAGACGAAATGCGGAACTTACAAGTACAGAATGAAAGAGTATGGCCATTGGAGGGTCCAAGAGCAGCAGCACCGCAACAGCAAGACAGAGAGAAGTTGATAGAGTTGCTTGGCGCACAGTAATTCGTGATTGTGAACGATGAGAAACGAATGAACGGCAGGAAAGGACAGAGGAAGCCCAGCAACGGATGTTAGGAGACCAAGAGGAAGAGGATGACGCTCCCTGTGTAAAGCCTGAAACAAGGACGGACGAGACAAGCTAGGGGTCATCAAAGATATGAACACGAGCGACCAGAGCGTGTAGATGTGGACAGCAGTGATGTGCCGTGACACCATCAACGTGCTCTCTTCCTTTCTTCCCATTTCGTCCGAGTTATTAAAATAATTGTTTTCACCAAAACCCAAAAAACTATCTTTTCCGGTGAAGAGATACAAGACAAGTGAATTTGATGGATTACTTCCCAGATCTTATTTATAGATCACCTTGGACAACACCTTCTCATTAGTCTTATTTAAAAATTTAATAAGCCACTAAATTTATTTCTATTAAATACGTATATTTTAAAATCATATTCTGTCTTTCAAATATTCAGTAAAAGATAAAAAAAAATTATAATAAAAATTTAATAATATAATTTATAAGTAAGAATATTTTTTTTATTTTTACCTTATAAATAAAAATAAGTGAAGTATTTTCTACGGAAATACAGCGAAGAATGAAGAATCATGCTTGACCAATGGGTCTCTGATTCCCCAATCTCTCCTCGGGTTCGGTTTTACTGTATCACGATGGAATGCGTGTTTCATGCACTTGTGTTCCAAGCAGATTTCGTCAATTAATTAAAACGCCCGTGATATTTATACTCTATTTACAATGTGTGTTCCAGTCTAAGTGGACTCCTAAATTCTACAAGCTTTCATCATGGAAAAGTAAAATTCTTGCTTCATACTTTAAATTGCAGATGGAATGTATCTTTTTATTTATTTGATCCTCTCTAAAACACATGAGATGTTAGAATTTTTTTTGGATAGGATGAAGATCTTATGCTAAAAGAAACAATAATTATCAATAAAGATTAGTCAAACTGATAAAAATTTAATCTATAACTCACAAAATTATAAGATTAAATATAATTGTTGATGTCAAACTTTTGTTAATGAATAATTTGTAAGCACCTTGATAAATATTTTTTGAACCTGTAAGCACTCACCTACACTTTCTATTAGAAAAAAAAAACCGGAACTTGACAATCTTTAGTCGCCTAAACAATTTTTTAAACTTGAGAAAGCTTTTATGAAAAATCTTAAATAATAATAATTTCTTACTACCGGTATACTTCCCCCGGTCTTATTTATAAGATAGAAAAATAAATTTTTTAATCTTATTTATAAGTCATAATATTAAATTTTTATCATAAATGTTCTTTTTTATCCTCCATTGGATATAAAAAAAAAATTGTATCGCACAATTGAAGAAAATTAATTAACTATAATAATTATATTTAAAAATAAAAAAAGTAGACTAAAATGCTCAGTGTTAATCAACATAAACATACAATAATTGTTTGTTAATGTAAATTATGAGGGATAATTTAAAAAATGCGTAATAAATGTTTGTTAAAATAGGTAATTTTGCTTATAAAAAAATACAAGGTAAAAATGATAATTTTTCTAACAATAAAAAAGGGAGGGATGTATATTTAATGGGAACGAAATTAAAAATTTATTAAATTTTTAGATAAAATTAATAAATTTTAAAATTTTACTTGATTTCAACAAAAATATGTCAAAAATAATATATTGCCCAACTGATTTTGGGTGTATGTCCTTGTACGTATAAATTATAACCTGCATGGACGTGCGTTCACGCAATATCGACAGCTCATTGGTATCATTTGCGTATCCAACAGCTTTAAAGGATTTCATGCGAATCATGGGGTCTTCTCCAATTAAGACTATTTCTTTTGAGTAAAACTATAAAGTGTTGATTGAACTTTTTCGTTCCTTTTTGTTCTTTTTGTTGCAATCTCCAATTTCAGTTGAATTTTCGCGCATAAAGATGTTGGAACACACATGAACACATCCCATCAATGTAAAAGGTGATCGATGGACAAAGTAGAGATTCTAGATCAGGCCTGTTCACAAGAAGTAACGAGGAGTATGCATGCGTCATCTGAACTCTGAGCAGGTCAATATTCAATAATAACAACTAAAATCGATAGCAACCACAAAATTGAACTTTCCTCATGGAGAACAAACGGAGACAAAATTAATGTGAAAGTACCACTCGATTTGTATGCTTTTAGGATAATAGGCCTGAAGGCAGCAGTTGAGACAGCCCACGGGGGAGACCTGAATGCGACTGGGGACGTTACCCTGTCCAAAGCCAAATATAAAAAGACAATTGGGTCCCTTGCTCCAGCAACCAACGAGGCAACGACAACGATCCCCAAACGTGTGAGATAAACGACAAAGCGTTGCGACCTTGTACTGAAGTCTGAAGATCATTCATGCGGAGACCGCGGGCAATGCAATTGGTAACATGTATTATTGCGTCTCAAAATCAAATGGGCCTCTTTTTCTTTCGTCATTTGTTTTTTTGGGCTCAGACATAGAAACTCCTTTGTCGTTTTCACAAATGAGAGGCAAGCCGCCGCCATTTTTCATTCCATTTACAAGGGGAAAATTCGGGAAAAGGGCCTATTTACAAATTTATCTGGGGACAAGGACTTCACAATTTTAAAAGGAGCAGGTCCTCGAGGGAAATATCTTTAACAACGAAATGACTAAAATGACCTTAAAATTGAACACGAAATCAGGAAGATGTAATTTATTTAGATTGAGCTTTAATCAGATCCAAAATTGTAATTGAATATTTTATGGTGGTAACATGAAATTTCCCCCGAGTAATAAACCTTTGCATTCTCGTCCGATGGGAAGGAGCAAGAGAGCTCGCGAGAAAAGAGACCACGCGGTACGGCCGTACGGTATAAGAAAGAACCAAATCAGTGAAAAACATCCGATTCCGTAACTGTAACAAGTTCCAAATTCTACAATAATTTTTAGATCCAAAGTATCGCTTCAATTTTGCACTACTTTTCCCAGACGAATTAATGAGCAACGAGAATTTAAGAACTTCCCCTATCAATCTATGAGTCTAAAGGCAAAAAGTTGAAGACTGAATGCTCACAGGTCATCATTATGTTACGAGTCTCGTATTAAAAAGCCTAACAAGAAAATTGAGTCTTATAAGCTTAAGGATGAGTTTTTGTGAGATGAACTCTCACTTCAAGTTTTTGTGAGATGAACTCTCACTTCAAACTTGCACTCGTAACATTTGTTTTTCCTTATTAAGAAGTTGATATCATGGAAAGGGCTATCAATGGAAGGTTCCAACTAAAAGAAGGTCTAGTGAGTCTCACATCAGGAGGCCTTGCAAGATAAATTGGGTTTATAAGTTTAACGGATTCTCCTACCTAATAAATTAGTCTTTTGAGATAAGCTCTACCTTTAAACTTGTGCTTGCAACATATTACTTCCAAGATATTTGCTAATCTTAAATGCAGTTTTAACAGTCTAGTCTTGTTAAAACAAACACCCAGTTCTATTCTATGGAAACAACCTCAACTTAATGCACAAACCAAAGTTGAATTTTATTTGCCAAAAAAACTTAATGAACAAATCACAAATGGATATGGAGTGAGTATAGCGGACAGGAAAATAGCTCAACCAATAATATATAACCAATTGTGAACATCTCCCCCCCCCCCCAAAAAAAAAAGAAAAAAGAAAAAAACAACAAACTCCAGTTAATGTGACAATATACAAGACACTGCAGCAAGTCCATATGCCAGGAAGGGTGTAGAAAGAAAGCTCATACCAAAGTCCTTCGCACTTGAGATGCAAATTGGAAATGGAAATGGAGTCCTGGGAGGAGAACTATTATGAATGCTGCCCTTGTGTCCAGTAAATCAGAACAAACAAGCCTTCACAGGTCAGAACCACAATTTGGTGAAATCTCCTACTACTCAGAACCATCTGGAAAATGTTCCAATGCATCTTGTTTCCCGTTGAGATAGAAATCCACTACTGCCTTCATTCTAGCGAATTTATCAGGATGATAGTTAACGTGTACAATAACTGGCTTCAGTTTTTTAAGTTTAACATCCTTTCTAACAGTCTTAAAGAGAACCTTACTGTTCATAAAGAGGTACATATCCATAGTTCTTTTGGAAGCATGAAGCCCATCGTAGCCAGGATGCGAAGGGAAGAAGAGCTCTTCATTAAAAACAGCCTGGTCCCATGATTTTGGTCCCCGAGAAAGCCGGTTAGCTACACGATCCAAGAGCTCAATTGAAGGAAGAGTTGGCCTTACGTAAAAGAAACCAGAGTTATAAACCCATATTCTCATTGTGTGAGCATAGCGGGCCCAACCCATCGGAGGTTCGTCAAAGACATCATTGAACCCATATGCTGTCATATTATTGTGACCATCAGACATAGACTCCACATCTGAATCTCGATAAAGATAATCAAAGGGGTTCTGCAAGTATACAATGTCAACATCTGAAAGGAGGACACTGTAACCCAACCGTAGAAATTCTCTTAGAATGCGAAATTTAAGCCCCGAGACAGCATGGTTACCTCCTGTCCTAGCAATTGTATCAATTCCTTCATCAGGGTCTCTTCGATAGACTGGGACATCATTTGATTTGCAGAATTCTTCAATTGTATCATCCAAGGCTACTACTAAATAATTAGGTATGCCAACCTTCTTGATGTTAGTAAACCAGACCTCTAACATCTCTTTAACGTTAGAGTTTGCCAATGCAACTATTAGTTCTTTATAAATAGCAACTTCCTCCAAGATTTTTGCCAACCTAGGATTCACAGATTCATCAGGAATGACAGATGGATTAGTTCTCAGACCCTTGACAGTGCCAAATGGCCCAGCCTTGTGATTCTCCCCCAACATAACAAACTGTTCATGGGCATGATCCTTTCCTTGCTCAGCCAGCCGCAGTTTTTCCATTAGACTTTTGACTTGTTTCTTGAGCTCAGAATTCTTCTCCGTCACTGACAGAATATCTACCTTTAGGGCATTAACGTGCTCCAATGATTCACAAGTAGATGAACCAATCTAACAAATAAAGGAGAAAGTTAAGAGAGGTAGAGAAGGCAAAAGATTGGGCAATATGATGGAATGAAAGCCAAGAGGCTCATGCACAAGGTCTGTCCTATTAATCTTGTCCTTGAAAAAATAAATAAAATGAAATAAAGGTCGTCAATAAGACGAATCCTAGGTCCAAACTAAGCATGACATGAACACGAATCAGATGTCTACTCCTAGTTTCACACTCACCATTTTGCAGTTTATTAACATGGAGATGGACAGACACATGCCTTCTCCTTCAGACTATGCTATTTTGATTTGATTTGATTCTATTGGGAAGCCGACAACCGCCGGGAAGAGGGGGTGGTGGTGGTAGGTGTTGTGTCCAAAAGTATAACAAGCAAGAATAGAACAAAATATTCAATATCAGGTAGTCAATATTAAACCAAGGCATTCGTGCTTGAATGGAGGTTGTGCCATGAGGAGACGCTCTTTAATGAAACTTTTAGCTTTAACTAGTGACGATGATTCAATAGAAAACTATCGAATCCGTGGCAGAAATGAAATTTTTAAATGTTAAATCAGCATGGAGGGAAGGTCGGAAGGACTCTAACAAACCAAGTTTTAACAAACACCAAGATAAAAGTTGAGGCGAGTAAAAAAAAAAAAAAACCTGAAGATCGGGAATTTCGATTCGACGATTATGGAAGAGACGATTGGAGCTGACGAAACCATGAGGTAACAGGAAGGCGAACACGCAACCGAGAATAACACCAATAACTACGGCAACAAAGATACGAGATCCAAGATTAGACTGGCCTTTCTCTCTGGCGAGCAACGCGTCCCTACGACCCGCCATGACAATCTGAATCTCTTCAAGAGGACGTGATGGAAGAATCTAGGCACCACAACTTCCCTTTACGAAATCAAAGGAGGGTTTGACTCAGTCACGGGAACGAGGAATCCTACTCTCTCCTCCTCGGGCCTTGGCAATGTCTTGGTAGGTGCTTGACACCGCTGGCTGCTGCACCTGCACTCTGAACTCTGAAGTCGTCTACAGTGATAGACAAAGCCGTTTGTCTCCAGTTGATTTGTTCGCCCTCGGCAAAAGCAAGAAAAGAATTGGGGCCTAAAGCCCAAACGTCTGCCATTGTCAACGACATGCGAAAGCCCATTTAATTTTTATTACAAACATGGCCCTAGTCTTCGGCAACAGGCCTTATTACCCCTCCCATGAATGATAGTGAGCAACGTCTGTTAGCAGTTTGAGGCCCGAAAAAGCAGGCACTCCATTAAAAACGTGCTGGCCTACATCAATCTCGGGTTAATTTATTTGGCATATACTTATTTTGATATAATATTATCCATGTATTTTTACCACTCAAACTTATTGATTGCCCACATGTATGTATGGAATCATAGTAATAAATTATTTAGAGTATTTCAAATATTGAATTCACAGGAAATTTATATCTTTATTAATTTAAATAATTAATAGTTTAAGAAAAATAGATAAAATGAAATATTTGATGAGAATATAAATAATAAAAAATAAAAAAATGATAAAAAAACATGATCACTTGAAGCGTTGGGATTTATAATTCATCCTATATGTTAGGAGCTCCTACTTGTTAAGTCATTTTTTAATCAATTATAGTGACAATTATTCATAAAATATCATAATATTTTCCTAAATTATTAATCCCTTTTTAATTAGCATTAAATTCATTCTTATGATATCCAAACAACCAATTAAATTATGAAACTATTGTTTAAGTCACTATAAATTTTTAAAACTATTCCTAACCTAATTATTTATATCTATTTCTCTAAATTTAAGTTTTCTTTTCACTTTTCAGTCCATCAAAATTACTTATAAATTTGATTAGATGGTGGTTAGTCATAAAACTAACATAAAGAACAAAAAAATAATTAAAAAATATGTATATAAATGTTGAAGCAAGGAGTTAAAACAAAATAAATAAAAAACTAGCTCTTCAGTTGGACTATATTTCTACCTCAATTAAGTAATTTAAAAATACAAATTAAATAATATTGCTTTAAAATTCTCAATAATGAGATATGATCATAGAGAAAATTAAAGAGTAGAAAAAAATAATTATGGTACTCTTTAACAATCTTGCCCTCAACTTCATAATGCTTCAACGAGTTTCAAATATCTTAAAGAGAAATTTGTAAATAAGTAATTGAATATCTTCTCTCTTGATAAAGGGAGCTTTTATAATTAAAGTGAAGGTTTTTTTTTATTTTTAATCAATGTAAAACTTTAATATATATCTGTTTGAATGTCACAGCCCCCTCTCCCCCATGATTCTGCATTCTTCGTTAATGTGTGTGTGTATGCATGAGGTTCGAATCACTTCATATATATGTTCTCTTTTCCTTCTTTTCTTTTATTTGGTTTGTTCTTTATGTTTTTCCTGAAAAATATAAAAATAAAAAGATCAGAATAAATTTTGTAGCACAAATTCTTCTTTATCATATAATTAAGTGATGAGAAAAAAATATAAATCAAAATGTAAACTTATTTAACTATCAAATATGCACTTATCACTTATATGAATTTATAATAGGAAAAATGGCAGATAAATATCTTTAAAATAGAAAAATAATAATTTACTCCACACAAAACATGATAATGATTGAGATCCTAAAAGATTTCTTTAAAATTAAATTTTTATGTGAAACCTTTCTACAACTAATTTTATATGATTCACAAGTTTAATATAAGTATTTACAAGTTTAATCTCACCAATGACTAAAATAATTTAGGAAATTATAACTTTTCTATCAACAATGTCCTTTAATCAACAAAGTCTGACTAATTATTCATCGTTTATAAATTTGGTATAACTATTCATAAGTTTCATTTCACTAATGACTAAATGAAAATTACAAAAATGTACTAAAATAATCTTACACATAAATTTAATTTAAAAAAAAATCTCTCAAAACCTCATTATCATTATCACATTTTGTAAAATCAAATTTGTTTATCATTATTCCTTTATAATACTTATTAACATTTATCTATGTATTTTGATTTATACTTTAAATAATAATTTCTTAAATGTATTAATGTTTTTAAATTATATAACTTGGTAGTAATTTTATGATTTGAAATATATACTTTTAATTTAAATGTTCTTTTATTTGACGAAGACAAATATATGCATGCACGCATGTATGCATCAGAAGGATCTAGACCTGCAGGGTAAAATAAGGGCAGGGCTTTATCAACTGAAGCTTTATGGCAAAGGCCTTTTTTAAGCTTAAACCCATCAAACACCGTCGTCGTTCTGACATTTTGGGGGCGCATATTGACATCATAAAACAAAGGGCGTGATCCAGTTAATTCCCAACTATAAAGAAGGGAAAAAAATAAATAAATAAAATGAAACAAGGGAAGACAGCAAAGAGGTAGATAATACCCTGCATCCTGCAATGCAGCATTGGTCCTATTCGTGCAAAATCTCTACAAGTACAATTAATACTTGATTGGCTGTGTTTCTCTCAACAAGCGTCCCACCATTGACTTGTATCATACACAAGATACAGAGAGGAAGAGTTAAGGATCTTGAGATTGAGAGGAGGCAATGTAGGAAACAACTACAGTAGTATCATCAAGTTTCCCCCCATAATAACGAACACCGGCATCTTGAGCAGCAGTTGAGAAGGGGGTCTGGCGGTCTCTATCCTGAGCCCGTTGGCGTGCCAATGCAGCAATCTTCTGAGCCGTCACTTGAGGACTTAAGCAGGCTCTTATGGCATGCACCACCACTGCTGTTATCTCATTGTTATACAAGTTGTCAAACAGCCCATCTGTCCCAGCAATTATCACATCCCCAGGAGCCACAGGTATTGAAAACACCTGATATCAACTCAAACAGAACCAACTATACACGTTAAACCATATCATCCAGATACGATAGGAGAAACTAACAGACTATATCATTTCTCTACACTACCAAAACAAACACCTCATTTCATACTTGGTCCTGACAACTAAAGGCTATGAATGCAGCTCGTTGAGCTGCAAACAGCTTTTTTCTCAAATTTCATAAGAATAACCATGAAAAGAAGCAATTTTTAGTTTGGCAGAATCATTTGATATACATTTTTTTTTTTTTGGGTTGACGCCGTTGCGCTTCACTGTCAAATTAATTAAAACAGTGCGTGTATAAGACAAGTAAAAAGAGGAAGACAGCTAAGGATTGTCCAATGGCCGCACACCTCTGGAGGAGGGTTCTAACTTCTTATATGCTCACTGATTTCTACAACAAAGGATTTGTTTCTTGGCTGGTTGACATTCTTAAGTCGTCACACTTAGATACTTCTTGGAAAGTCGGCATCAGCATTCCAGCTTGGAAATTATGTGAAGCATGTAACCGTAGGATTTTTGCTACCGAAAACATTGATGAGAACCAACTTTTAGTGCATACTATGTCTATATTTAACCACACTCTACGCAACTTTCACACCTTTAATTCCTTGATGTAATTTCCCCGTCTCCTTTTGTTCTTCTGTACAGTTTTTGATCAATAGAATTTCCTCTCACTAAAAAAAAAGAGTATGATAGCTAATGATTGTAGAGGTATAATTATCTTTAAAAAAATCACAACGAATTGCTTTCACTACTACTCAGAAGCGGCTTTTTTCCCCTTTATATACGCGTATAAAATCAAGGTAACATTCTAATTAAACCAAAACCTTGGCTAAACGGGCTAAAACAATCTTGAGAGGACCAACCAAAAAATAAAAAATTATAAGTCCAAAAAAGACCAAAGCGACACAACAAATAATTTGAGAAGGTCACCTCTATGTAGAAAGTAATTTTGAATATATGTTACAACACACAAGAACATAAGATGCCTAAAATATGAACTAAGGTTAGTCACCAAGACAATATCTTGTTACAAATAATTCGTTTAATTACAAATCATTGAAATCACCGAGGCTCAATTAAACTTGTCACAAACTCCTAGTAAGGTCTAGGTTTGGCTAAGTAGAGAAGCACAAGAATAGCCTGTTTATTGGTGGGGAGAGTGAACTAACAAGGAAAACTGTCAGCCTTTCCCCCCTGCCCCCACTCGTTTCCCTCTTCAATCCAAAACACAATACTCAAGGAAAATTTCAACCATTTCCATTAAATATCAATAGCAAGGAGATATACAAGAACAATAAAATGAATCATGAAGTCATAATACCACTTGCTAACATTTGCTGAAGCCACAATGTAAAAAATTAACCGCTTAGAGCAAAGCATAGAAAACCATACCTGACCAGAACTAGGCAGGTCACCATTAGTTCCACTTTCCAGTTGGTAAGTGAAATTGAAACCATGTTGCTGAATTGGGGATCGGAAGATGGTGCAACCATCACGGACCACCATAAAACCACTGTCCCCCAAATTAATAGCATGAAGTCCCTACGAAATGGAACACAACAACCAAATGATGTACATTGAAATCAACAAATTAAAAATCTCTTTCAGGATTATCAAATGGCAAAACCAAAGACTAAGCATTAAATAACGAAGCACATAACCAAGTCAAATCACTCTTCATCCTGAAGCAACAAGGCATACATATTATGTAAAGCCAAAAATAAAATGCTCAATTTTAGAAGAGACAAGCTAATCTTGCACCTCACGACAGAACAAAATGTATTTCTCATAGAGAAGGGCCTCAATTCCAAGCTTGATAAATCATTGCTGAAACTTTAATTGATATTTAACCAATTGAAGTCTCACACATAGCATTGGCCACTTTAAGCTCCACAGAACATGATTGCACGATGTGCAGAGGATTATTCATGCAACATGGCCCGAAAGTTACTGAACATATACATAAATATTGCATAACCCTTGCTTTTCTATGCAATTATTTTACTAGTAACCCCAACCCAGTGGAATAAGACTTGCTGCTGTTGTTGTATTTTACTAGTAATAAATTATTTTTTTAACCTGTTAAATTTTTCTCCATGTTCTTTCTCATTAATACATTAACCAAAGTCAAATATTAAAAATCAGGGTAATATACTGCCCAGGCTAAAAGTATTTCCATAACAATAAACAAATGGTACCAAGAATACTTGGATAACAAGAACAGCAAGATTATAAAACGAAAAACCAGTCCTTCCTTTCTGACACGTAATAAGGAAGCACAGAGCACTAGAGTTAGCATGACGGTGGCAAGATAGAAACTATCAATACATCTAAAGAAGACAGCATAAAGGTAAAGGTAGCATACCTGTTCAGTGAGTGCAATGATGCATGCAGTTGAAGAACCCTTAGCTTTAGTACTCAAATGTGCTTTTTCCAGAACCCTAGCTGGGTCAATAGAACCCTCAGGCTCTTCTTTAATAGCATTCACTGCATTGGACATGAGTTCACGGGAGTACTCTCCAGCATCAATTCCAAGGTCTGCCCAGCCACCAACTCCATCTGCCACCCCTACTGCTTGTTCCTCACTACATATAAAATGTGCATCTTCTCCACCAGTTTCTTCTTTATCAGGATGAGGCAAGTAGCATGATCCAGAAATTAACTTAAGCGTTTTGCCTGAAAGGCTTTTCCTGTGGTCATCATCCAACCATCTCATTTTAGCATTAAGATTGCAATCATATGGGAAATTCTGCAACAGCAGGTAGCCAGGTAATTAACCAACCAACCATGACCAACACTTAAGGACTGAGTGAGTATGCATTTGTAAGATTCTTTTATAGGGAAAACTAGGAAGAGAGAAAGGGGGGGTGGTAAATGTGCTAGAATCATCCTGTCCCAAACAAATGAATGATTTAATGTTCCAAGTTCTAGATTTAATAAATGAACTATGAAAATTATTTGCATCACAGTTTCAAATAATCCTTATGGAAATCATTATACTACTAGTGCCATTCAACAACAACAATAACCCTCACTCCACTAGGTGGGTTCGGCTAAACATTTAATTAGTTTAAATATTTTGATGCTAATAAAGACATTTAAACTAATTATTAGACCACTGGTGCCATTCAACAACAACAAGCTTTATTCCATTAGGTAGGGTCAACTAAACATTTAATTAGTTTAAATGTTTTGATGCTAATAAAAACATGTAAACTAATTATTAGACTACTGGTGCCATTCAACAACAACAATCATTAGACTACTGGTGCCATTGCTACAGTATAAAATTTTGATGCTAATAAATTTGAAAATTGATTAATCCTATTAATTTAAATATAAGAAACCTCTTCACCATCCATTTTCAACACTTTAAAGTTTAACCATACTAATGATAACAAAGTCCAGGGGGACATTCATTAAATATGGGAATTCTACCATAAACATTTAATTAGTTAAAACAGCACTAGTCAAATACCCACATTCCACATATCTACACTCTTAAATACCTTCGTTATACCTTCAGATCACAAATTGATGTCTATTACCACTGTAAGGGTAAACATGTAGCGGCAATGGAAATATTTATGATTGTGTTTTCACTTTTGGATAAAAGTTATCATTGTAACTAGTAGGATGCATGTTAAGCTTCAAGAAGCACCACAGGAAATAGGTCATTAGGCCACTAATTTAATCGCAGAGAAGACTTTGAGATGGTGAACTTAAAAAGGTGAAAACATACTGATCAGATGAATCCACAGAATTTGTTAGCTGCTCTTCTCGGACAGAAGAATCAAAAGGCACATCGGGAGCAGGGCCAGCAGAGAAACATGTTGATGATGCGCTATGGAATTCTCTTGACCCTGAATCTGCACAGGGGTTATAACTCTGCCAAGTTTTTGTCACATTATATATGAAATAACCATAAATGCCACGACTGTCTGGTTGCTTATGGTTTTTCAATCTCATGCTGACTTTTCTGCCATCCTCCAAACCTGTGCCTAGCCACAGATTACTGTCATTCCTTGATGACAGTGACTGGTGGCTGCTCTTTGACTTCAGGTTATCAAAATAGCATTCACCAACTACTGCTCTAGCTAAGGGAATAGCCATTAATTCCAGCTTACAATTCCTGCTGTCTGAAAATTGAGCAGACTCACGAAATGCACAATCACTGTGGTACCCACACGCCTGAAATGAAGGCCCCAATAATGATGGGATGGAAAACGTGCGAGATAGAGTGCCAACTAAAGACAAGGTTCTTCTTTTGTCAGCTATTTCTGAGCTCGTAGCTAAAGCAACACCAGGACGGAGAATTGCACCGAAATCAGCAAGAGAGCTGCTTACAAAATGAAATGACCTTGAACTGCCGCCAAGCCACAACTTCCCTTGTCCAATCAAAACTCCGAAAGAATCTTGATTTCCACTCTCTCTCCCCACAATCGATCTTTGGATTGCATTTCTGAGTCTTGAAAATTTAGCAGAGAGCATTTTACTACGAGAAATACTTTTCTTCAACTTTATAATGTATCGCAACACGATGGTCACGAGTATATGCTAAAGACAATCTCATAACTCCCAACACATCACTTCTGCATTCAGATATAATGCAATCCCTGATCCGCTCGATATTTTCCCTTATTCAGAGACCTGGCATGCGTTAAGAAGTTTGTCAGTCAACATATTATAAATAGTGGGGACTTTTGTCAGCAAATAAGAAAAATAATCACCAATTTTGTTCAGAAGCGCCAAAAAAAGAAGGGGGGTGGGGAGTGCAGACAGAGTAATTAAGATCAAGGTCAACTAATTGGAAGACATTAAAAAAAAAACATTGATAGAAATTAACAAGAAACAGAAGAATTGTAACGTTCCGCAACAATTGGAGCAATAATTAAGGAAAAAAACCCTAATCGTTAAGCGAAATCAGAGGGAAGCTGTGAGTGGTTAAACATTGGGGACGTAACGAAAACAGACCGCAAACGAATCTTGAAGGAGGTAGGTAGGAGACACGAGCTTCCCCGCTCCCCCTAACTCTCCGTCGAGACAGCCAGATAATGGGGACCAGTAGGAAACAGGGGGGAATTGTATGTGATGCGAGCAGATGAGAATAGTAATTTGTAAACTCAGTAGAATCTAGAAATTTCAATTCAGCTCTCTAGTCCAAGAACACAGGTGAAACCCTCCCGTCAGACTCGGGCCTCGGCTGATTTCATTGACGAACCGTGAGCGAATAAATGGATCCTTCCCCGGGACACTCGCAACCCGCAACTTCTGACGATTGCGAGCGGTGCAGTACGGCTATTCCCCATGAGGTATCGTCAAATATTACTGAAAACAAAATAGAACCCTCGGCCAACTGTGCGATTTGTTTGGATATTTAAAAACAAAACAAAACAAAAGAAAAAGAAAAGAGGAAAATTACCATCAAAGACTTGACCAGCTCATTTTGCTATAAAGGGCTAGGGATATTAGGTCCTTTGTTGGCATTAAATTGGAGGAATAAATGACTAAATTACCCTCATCACATTTTCTCCATCCCCTTCCTCTATTGCTCTCGTTCGTGCAATTTCTGGTACATCATCCTAGTAAGCCCTAATTTCAACGGCAATGACAATGACGTCAAGTAAGGTGAGATCAGCGGTGATCGGTAACTCTCACCCTTCCCCCATGCCATTTCTCATTCCCCGTTCCTCAATGTCAAGAATCCGATTGAGACCTGAGGATTCCGATGTCCTACAACAAGTTCGAAGGCCCACCACAAATCTTCTCTCCTCAACATGTGTGCTCTTCCAACCCATGTTTTGAGTGCCATCTATATAAGTTCATTCCAGATCTAAACAGATAAGTCATGCATTAAGAAATATACAAATGACAAGATTTGGTTTGTTATTCCATTCTGCTTGATGCTAGGCTTGGCACATGTTATAGTTTAATTTCCCAAGTTCAAGTTTCGTATTATTGTTCGCCTTGCGCAACCTATGAGGGAGAGCCTTTGACTAGTAATTTCATAATATAAAACTTGCTTTCGGATCTCAAATGTATTTAACAATTTAACTCCTATGAGAGACAATCTGAAAGAAATATTACCTATAAAACATTTTGCAAATAAAGGCGTCACCACCACCACCACATTGTCCCAAATAAAATCTAGTCTCTATTCCTGGTAATCTTGCATCCCACCATATTGATGGGGTGCTGCCAGATTAAGTTTACATTCCTTGTGTCACTTTTTTCAATATCCTAACTAAACTTCATAATGTAAATGTTTCTTGTTCCATTTTGTTTGATTGATGCGCAGTTAACAACTTAACTTTTATGCCCCTGGAGAATGCTTTTTGAGTGATCATTTTGCAACTTTCATGTTGCGTTTTTTATTGATTGGGATTTCTCAACAGGTACTTGAATTTCCTTTCAAGTTGTTTTTCATTTGTGAAGTAAAACCTGTGAGTGGAGGTAACACTCTAATTGTTCTTAGCCATATTGCGTAAGAGAAAATGAGAGGTACTCGGATTTTGTTGAACATTTAGAAAAGTATGGTTTGATGTATATAAGGGTTTAGAGGAAGATCACTTGGAGTGATCTCTGCATTTTTCGCATTGAAGGCTTGCATATGAGTTTCGGCTTTGGTGGAAAAGAGAGGAAGAAGACATTTTGAAAAAGTATAAGAAGACTATAAAGAGGATTCCATTGAATTAAGGTATAGGATACTTTTCTTCAAGGCGTAAGGAAAAAATATCAATAATGGTCAGTCTACAAGCTTTTGGTGGGATAGATGGGCTCCGACTCAGCAACCCCTCATCAATTATATATCTAGATCAGATTAGCCTATTGATATCCAAACCAAAGTGAGTGATTTTCTAAACCCGTAGGGAGCATGAGATAGATAAAAGCTGCAAAACCTTTTTGCTAGCGATGTCATCAATAAAATCATGACTATTAGGCCTCATATCAACCAACATAATGATATATTATGGTGGCAACCTGCAAGTGATGGGCTATTCTCGATTAAGTCGACTTATCATTTTCTTGGAGGTAATATTTCTGCTAATGGGAATCAGATCTGGAGGTATCTGTGGAAGTGGCCTTTTCTAGAGAAATTGAAATTCTTCTTTTGGCAAATTATTCACAAGAAGATTCCTAGTAATCTGTTAAGAGCAAAGAGAGGAATTACAAATGACGCGAGCTGCCTTCTTGAGTGTGATGTGATGAAAGTATCAGTCATATTTTGAGTGTGTGAGGGCAAAACACATATGGACGGATATTATAAGTCCTGTTTATTATGACTATTTCTTTTCTTGTAGCTTGTAGGATTGGATCCAATGGAATACATCTCACCAAATTGGAGGTAGCTTTTTTTGAAACTGGCCCTGGATTAAAGTCTTTGGAAATGTTTGCTGGCTGTTATGGACATATAGGTGCAAATTCATCTTTGAAGGCACCAATCACACCTCTGATGAGATCATCCAGACGTGCAGAAGAAGGCTAATGGAAGAAAGAGATCTTTAGCACCTACAAATTTATAGTCCTATGATGGATGTTGCTCAACCTTCCATTTAGTTAGCCCCAACACTGGATACTATATGAATAGATGTAAATGCTTCATTGTATCAATAGAGTAGTGCAAAATGTGGAGGACTGGCCTAGAATTCTACAGGAGATTAGTTGAAAGGTTTTATTAGTAATTTAGGAAATTTACCACTCGCTATAGCTAAAGTCCATGCTATTAAATATTGGCTGAGGCTTTGTTTCAATCTTGATATTGAGAAAGCTGTGATATATTCTGATTCCTTGGAGGCAATTAATTTGATTTGTAGGGGTGTTAACACTAACCATCTCTTTGCTGAAGCTATTTATGAAGTACAAGAGGCCATATGCTCTCATGATAATTGTAGAATCTTATATACTCCTAAGGATGCCAACACGTGTGTAGATTTCTTAGCCAAAATGGCCCATGATTGTCTAAACAACTTTTCATTGCTTGATGTGGCTTCTTCTGGATGTGAATGCTTACTCTTGGCTGATAAGAATGGAATAAGACCCATCTAATTATCAGGTTTTTGTGTAATTGAACACTTCTAGCTTTATGCTAGCCTTATCTGTAAGGAAATAAAATATGACATTTTTTTAGTACAAGGCCACGGTGAAAACCATGCAAAAAGACTAAAATCTAGTCATATCAGAAGCCATAAGGCTTATACAATCGGTAGGCAGGTTGATAAAGATAAAGGTATCAAAATCTTCATAAGGAGTCTTGTGAGCCAGGAGGTCAGCGCAATTATTTGCTTCCCTGTAGACGTGATCAAATGTAACAATCCAATCTCTTATAGAGAGATCTATAATATTTTTGACAATTCCAGAGAGGGGGTGGGAATCATAGCATCCGTTGTTAATAAGTGATAGAGCTTCTAGAGAGTCAGAGTGGACATTAATTTTAGTGAGTTTCTCGTTCCAGCAGAGTTTGAGGCCTTTTAAAATTGCATATAGCTCGGCTGTAGTAGTGGGATAATAACCAAGGTTCTAAGTATTAACAGAGCCTTGTCATCTCTAATAATGCTTCCACATGAAGCAGCATCATAAGTATTAACAGAGCCATTCACATCGAGTCTAACCCAACTAAGTTCAGGAGGGCTCCATTTAGCTTCATATCTGGTGCTATTGTTGTTTGTTGATCTTGGATTGAAGCTTTAGGTCATTTATAATCTGTTGCGTGCTGGAGAAGGCAATATCATTAGTCAAAAAGTCATCTTCAGAATAGATTTTTTTGCATCTGGTTTTCCATATATTCCAACAAGCTTGGGCAAATAGTCTCTGCCAGGTGATTCTTCTAGTTATTTGACTGCCAGCTTCATTCTTTGAGTTCCAAGTTATCCAATCCTGCACATTATGAGAAAAGAAGGTGTTAAAATATAAAGAATTAACTAATCTTTTCCAAACCTCTTGGGCTTCTTTGCAATCTCGCAGAGTGTAGATAAAGGAATCAGAAGCTATATATCCCAGGGGACATGACCGTTGTTGAGTGTAATTGGATTGAAGACGATCCCAAGCAGCCTTCCAAAGAAAATATTTAATTTTCTCGTAGGTGGGCAACTTCTAAATCTTGGACCAGATGTCGGATTTGTTATCATTATTTTGGATCTCCAGAGCTTTATAGGCGGATTTAATGGAGAAATTTCCATCAGAAGATGCCCTCCAAATTAGAGTGTCTTTTTCACCTTGTTGTGTAGGAGGTTGGACAAGAGCAACCTGTCTCAACACGTCTGGATGAAGATAGTGCTTTAGGAGATCAAAATGCCATCCGCCTACATTATTGCAAAAGTTTAAGACACGAGCATAGAGAACATGGTCGGCATTGTGGAAAGCATATTTGACAAGAGGGTCAGGTAGGTGGGACCATTTATCATACCAAAAGGATATTTGATCTCCCTTACCCACTTTCCAACTAACCTGAGACATAAACTTATCCTAAACTTTGCATATGCTACTCCAAGTAAAAGAACAAGAGCTGGGTTTAATTACCATAGGGATAACGGGTTTATTACATTTATACTTATCACGCGATACCCATACCCAGAGGCAATTGGGTTTTGAGATGAGACCCCAGCAAAATTTCAAGATATAAGCTATATTTTAACTCTTAAGCTTCTTGATGCCAAGTCCACCTTCCTTTTTATCAGAAGTAATGTGGTCTCAAGAGAGAAGGTGGGGCTTAATATTTCCGTCTGAAGAGTCCCAAAGAAAGTTTTTGGATATTTTTTCCAATTCAGTCAAGATGTTATCAGGAAGAAGCATAGTTTGTATGGCATAGCTAGGCAAAGCGAATAAGACGGACTTGATTAGCACAGATTTTCCGACAATATTAAGATGGCGACTTCTCCAGCTAGCTAGACAGGAATGTGTTTTATCAAGAAGAGGAGCAAAGGCAAGCTTGGAAGCTTTTTCATGTATAAGAGGAATTTCAAGATATTTTCTAAGATTTCCAGTGATAGGAATTCCTAACTCCTCGCTAATCTGAGTAGCTCTATTGATGTTAACATTCTTGGAGCAGAATAATCTAGATTTATCTGTATTAATTTTTTGACCCGAGGCACTACAGAAGTCAATAAGACATTGTTGTATGGTCATTGCTTGAGATAGAGAGGCTTCTGCAAAGAGTAACAGATCGTCAGCAAAAAATAAGTGGGATATAGGAGGCCCATTAGGGGTCAATCTAATTGGTTTCCAATCATTTTTATCAATACTAATAAGAATACAATGACTTAAACGTTCAATACAAAGAGCAAATAGGTAGGGAGAGAGAGGATCCCCCTGACGGATGCCTCTTGAAGGTTTGAATTCTTCAGAAGGT